ATGTGCAATAGTAATAGGTGGGCCATGCCTTCGGCATGTGGCCCCCCAATAATACGCGGAATAAATATGTGCAATAGTAGTAGGTGGGCCATGCCTTCGGCATGTGGCCCCCCTAACTAACATTTTCTCAGATTATGCCGCAACAATACAATAAATGACTAAGTTTTTTTTTTAAACCAGCTGTGGCAATAAGTCTGCAGTCACAACAAGTTTATACAAGTTAAATCAAATTACTAAATTGAATAGAGATCGAGTCCTCTGTTTAGTTTGTCACTGCTTTGGAATAAACTATGAAATTCTCTCTATTACTTTCTAATTTATGCAGCATAACTGTCAGTTAAGGGCAAAAACAAGCCCTTACATATAGAGGTGACTCACCCTCTGAACCAGCATGGTCTGATCCCCGTATCCTCCAGCTTGCTCGCCCTCCCCCATCTCGCCCTCGTCCTCATGAACCACCATGGTGTTGACTGAATCACTGTCTGCATCTCTGTGGCTGAAAGAAAGAGGAAACACGATCAGAAGCCAAGTGAGGAGGATTAACATGAACTAGATGTGAGCTCAACAGCATGGTTCGTCTTCTGTGTTGTTCAGAACAGCAGATGAAGGCTCTTGTCCAGTATGAGTTACATTACTACTGGGATTTTCTTCCACCTGATTCACTCACTGATACTACAGGACCTCTAATCCAGTGTTCTTAACAGATACGGATATTTTGACCCAACAGGAGTTTCTTCAAAACAGTCATAATAACGGTTTGTGAAAATGCATCTTGCTTTAATATCTTACAGATCCGCTTTTCTCCCATTCCATCCGATAGCTGGATGGAGCATATCGGCTGATCCCGGTCTGGTATTACTGTTGGATGAATGCACCGTATACCTTGCCATGTGAGAGAAGGCATCAGGACAACGTAAACACTGGCACTCATGCAAGAATAAATTTGTTCTTAAATGGTTCGCACAAGTGATTTAGGAGAAAATGCACGTGCTCCAGACTGACGTTAAGAGTTTTAATGCCAATTTATACTTCTGATGCATAGCCTCTGCAACCGTCAAATCTGTCTCTGTGCGACCACGCCACCCACGCAGAGGCTCTGCAACAGTCGTCGTGCACCTTAAAAAAATCCTGACTACACGTCGAACGGTCGCGAACCCACCCAGACCTCAAGCAGAAGTGCGCAGACAAAAAGCAGCTGTGATTGGTCCTTGGTATGCCTTTCCGGCTGTCTGCCCTTCTCAATTCAGTGCCGGGGAGCACCATTTTTAAGAACTGAGGAATGAATAACCATGACAAAAAGGTTGATCGAGGAGGTTCGGAAGTACAACACTTATACGATGCCTCACACATGTTGTTTTGGAAAATAAACATTCCCGCTGGCGCCGCCGAAGAAGTTCTCGCAAGTTCTTGAATAGAATTTCTTGTGCTTTGGTGGGAAACTGCTGTGCGTCCCTACAAATTCCAGACCAATGTTGCAGAAGTATACCAGCAAAACTGGTTTGCAACCAGACGCAAGCGCCATTTTATGTGTGTGGCTGCAGAAGTATAATCTGTCCTTTACGTAATCAGTCGGCTGTTATCCAAACCTAGTTTTTCAGTAAAATACTACATTTGTTGTTACTTAGAAGCATCAGTATATATATATATATATAAAATGCAACTCTGCAGTTATAATTACATTGGTATTGGCTGATGACAGAACTATCAGTCACTACAACTGCAACTGGCATGCCAGTATCCAGGGGTTACTCGTTTAATTTGTTGTTATATTGTCAAAAGGAAGAACGGTGAATGATCTCTATGTGATATCAAGCTACTATTGAAAAAAAAACTCTGACTCTCTAACAGCAGTCCTATCGGGGTATCTGGAGTTAAGGACTTCTAACACGGGTCATCTGAAAAGAAACCTTGAGATTATCCCCTGGGATAAGACCTGAAAAGCCCTAGCAATGTTTAGCTTCCTGAATGTTCAAAAGAGCTTATGAGAATGTTATCTCTTATTTTACCGATCTGTTGGACTTTCTTCCTCCTCTGGCCCCTCGCCGCTCTCGCTTTCTTCACTGCTCTCGCTGCTCTCTGAAGAGGAGGAGTAATCGTTGGCCTTAACTGGGGGTCGTGGTGGCTCCTCAGCACGCTCCTTAGCATAGAGACCATGGTCCTGCACACACAATCATAATTTACATAAAAGACTTAAAACTCTTAGCGATACAACCAAAAAAATAAAATAAAAAAACGTCCAAGAGAACATGCACATGCTTACAACAGTAATCAATAAAACAAATTAATGACAAGCAGACGTAACAGAGATATTGAATGGAAGTTTACAAAAAGCTGGAATAAAAAAAAAAAAAAGTTAAACAATTTAAGAAAAGGAGCAAAATGCTGCTGAGATTACAATTTTTCAGGTAATGAACAAAACCTTGATAAACCCAAAGAATGTAGCCTGTGGCGGGAGTTTAATCACATCTGGGTGAACATTTACCAGCAAAAAAAATGCATGCATACTTGCAAAGCTTTGATCAACACACGGACACAGTGCTACTGACCTCCCCTATAGCTCTCTTGTAGCTCTGCACAATGAGGTAAAGCCAACAACCCGGGAGTTAAGGAGAGGAGAAACGTGAGCAGTAAAAGCAAAGGTGCCAAAAGTGTTATAGTAAGCAGTTCTCACACATGGGACACTATAAACACTGAGGCCCTGATTATTTAAGACAACACTCCTTCTGTATAATACAGTAATACAATCAAACAGGAGGGTTACTCTACATGTAAAATGTTGCTACAGTTCCAGAAAAATAATGTTTCAATTAGAGCTAAACAAATACACCACATGGCCTATATTTACAGCTGGTATTAGCGTGTTTTTCTTGTAATGGCCGATAGAGGCATTCCCTATATTTTCTATACATTCATTTTTTGCTTGATTTGTTCACAAATGTGTTTTTATTTATTTAAATTGAGAGCTGTGCAACATTTGTTATCGTTTCATTTTACTCTCTAAATGGAGGAAGAAAAAGCAACATCTACTTCAAATAAATAACTGCCCCAAAAATTGGCGGAATTTTGTCAAATAAAAAAATCAGTATCATTAAAGAACCTGTAACGGCAAATCTCTAATTTTAAATCTACATGAGTTCAATTTCTTCACTGTGGTTTTCTATCCTTCATAAACCATTTTGACTGCATGTAGGAAAAACTGCTTGAAAAGATACTTTATAATTTAAAAAGTGCAAAGTCAATTTACATGATATTTTTACATGTACACGCCAGTAGCTCACTATGAGGTTGTGTTTCATATTTTCATCGTTTGTTGGTGCGTATGCTGGCGTGCCATCTGCTCGCTGCAGCTCAGAGTAGTAGACTGTTAAATCTACAACAGCCCTCGACCAACGAAGTTTTTAGGAGAATTCGTACAGCATGTAATTTACATTTTTGTGATGACCCACATCATAATTTGGATACAGGTGTTAAAAAAAAAAAAAAAAAGATTCTTCAACATTGTGAGACAGATACGGCGGAACAAGCAGTTCTGCACTTAACCAGAGGGAAAATGCAAAGTGTGATTTTTGGTGTATGGATACAGCTCTAGTCCTAACAGTTCTAAAAGTAAAGGATTTGACAAACACTGATTATGATGCAGTTAAAAATTGTAAAACAGACGTACAGCAGGTCGCCCAGGACGAGAGGATGTACGGGATTCCCCAGGCTTATGACGACTTTCATGGGAGAAAATTGGTGACTCCATTTTGGAGGAACCTGACAATGGAATAAAGAAGTGTCAGGGTGCCCTGAAAAAATATCTATGCAACTTGAACCGCTTCATTTTTTGTCACACTTTAACTTCACTGTATTCTAATTCCGATTTTGTGTGATATATGCACAAAGAAGTAGGCAACTTGGAAGAGGAAGGAGAAAGACATGATTTTCATTTCTTTTTACAAATACCATTTTGACCATTCTGGGAAGAATGGGTAGTCTGTCCTCTAGCTAATATTATTAACCATCCACTTTAACTAGAAACTAAAACTAGCACGCTTTAGAAGAAAATCCCAAATAACTTAATCTCAGTCACATTAGATGGACTGTCCGAACAGAAGTTCTTCAGTCAGCACAGGAATGAAATGCTTGGGACCTTAATATGAATTAGGCTCTAGCCATTGGGCAACATTTATCCAAACACGTCAGAATATGTCATTTAAAACCAGTTCACTGGTTACAACAGGAATTCAACCATCAACTCTAACCTCCTCTCTGTGGATGGTGCTGCTGCTTCGTTTTCTCCAGTGGGGATGGTGTGTTTAGGTTAATGTCCAGAGTAAGTTTTTAACCATACATGGCTTTTTATTTTCTGTCGGTCAAAACATTTTGGTCTCATCTGTCTGAAGCAACTTAAACCACACCACAAAAATTTCAATGAAAGTAATTTTTCTTTAAATAAGTGCCTTTTCCTTTGATTATTAACAGGTAAGAAACTTTCCAATGGGATAGGATGACTGGCATTTAAAATAAAAATAACTCAGTTACATTTCAATTATCTAATTCCTAATCATATTATAGAGGGAATAAATACTCATGCTATTGGCAGATTATTTTATTAATAACCTACTCAATTTAAGTAAAATACACCTAAGACATTTTTGATCGTTTTCTGTAGTGTATCAAGGATCACCTTTTACAGTGACTAACTGTATGTGCTCTCTTTGATGCTTTTTGTCATAAGAACAGATGTTGACCGTTTCTCCTCTATACAGAGCAACACATATTTTTTTTATTTTAATTTGTTTTTTAAAGAATTTATGGATTGGTGCTTCTATGTTCCTTTTGTGTGCGTGTCTGCTTCAGTCTCCCTGAAGCCTCATTCAGCAGAAGTCTGCCCACACTGAGCCTGATTCTGCAGGTGGTTTATTTCTTCTTAAAGGAAGTTTTTCCTCATGCATGAGAAACGAACCCTGTAGTCAACGACTAGATGCAATCAATTGTTTTTTGTGATGATTTGAAGGTTTCTTTAAAGAGCATTTAGAAAGCATGTTGATCTGTATGACTAATTCTTTCATAAAGGAGGGGTTGGGAAGTTTACGACTATCAGTTCTTTTATCTACTTTTCCTACCTGAGCTACAGAATTCTACATCAGTCACATCGTTCTACAATATGGCAAAATCACACATCAGAATAAACAAAATTTTATACTCTAACTTCAAAGCAGATCCTGTGATATCTTTAAAGCTTAGGGTAATAATTAAACTTAAACTTGATCTCTGACCTGAGGTTTTGCTAATAAGGCCACCATTTATTTACAAATCTAACAAACATCTGAGGCCTCCACAGAGCAGTAGGATTTATACAGAAATGAAATAAAAGTGAATGAAATACTGTGACATCTGAAGGCAGCTTACGCTGATTTAGGGCATCATAGTAAGAGGGACTTGATGTAAAGCCATTCTGGGATTTTAATTTGTAAAACAAAACGAATCTATGAATAATTTTCCTTAGATTGCAAATTTATACCCTTCTTTGTACTGTTCTTTCACAAAAACAAAAAATCTTAATTTCCGAATAAAGTGTGGTCAAAATGTGACAAATTTAAAAGGTTCAAGGGGTATGAATACTTTTGCAAAGGACTATATGTCTGGGAGGGGGGGGGGGGGGGGGGGGGACAAAAATGAAATATTGCAGAAGTTGCTGGCTACAAAGTGGGAAGAGGCAGGCGACTCACTGAGGATTCGATGCCTCTCCAGAGAGCCAGTCTGCGGCAGACCGGATATGAGGTTCATACTTTCTCCTCTCTCCCAGCGTTCATTGCGGCTCAAATCTGGATTGCTGGTATGAAGGTAAAATCATCTAAAGTTAATAATGCTACATTCCACAGCTTACAACAACCTAGTTTACAAAATACTGAAAATCAAAAGTGTGTTCAGTACCTGGCTCTGACAGGGTGCCTAATGCCAGAGGTAAGGTTGGTGTTAAGAGCAGTGGCAATAGATGCAGTTCTCTGGGGAATCTGATAGCAACACCAAAAATCTTAAAAGTTCGTTATTCTTACCTTAACTTTCACAAAATTATGTTTTTACAGCTGAAATTGACAATGTTTTGGTTTATTTAATGCTTTATTAAGATCTGTTGTTGGATTTACCTTGGGTGGGAGCTCCACATCCGGGAGGCGGATCCAGGGGCCACGATCTTCCCTGATCTGGTGCAACTGCGGAACCGGGGTTTCAGAAGTAGGATCCGAGTTCTGACGAACAAGCTCTCTGGAACGGATGGGGCGGGGTGTGGGGGAGGGATCCTGAGTGGGGAAGGCGGACATGTTCTTAGTGGGCTGGTCACAGAGGGACTGCGAGCGAGGGACAGGGGCAGCATAAGGCTTCAGCGGGACCAAGTGAGCCATCTGGAACTGCAAAGGGCAGGAGCAGCCAAGCGACAGGCAGGAGCAGCAGCCAAAGGGAAGAGCAGAACCCCGAGATAGTCCAAGATGTAGGCCAGAAAGAAGAGAAACGTATAGATGGGTTGGTGGAAAGCATAGAAGGAAAAAAGGAAGCAGCAGATAAGTCCAAAGCCAATGATTAAAGGCTGGAAAAGATTGGCACCCTGTTTCTACATGGTTTAACTGAACTGAACATTTTAACCACACACCTTGCCCTGACCCCCTTGAGGTTCAACTGGCCTTTGCATGGGTGGAGTCTGTGCAGCCTGGACCATTCCAGACTGACTGATGGAGTCGGAGCGTGACTGGATGGCAGTGTCGGAGACGGTGGTGCAGATTTTGGGTGACCCCTGTCTGTTTAGCTTAGTCCGCTCCTCAACCTGGAATAAAAAAACAATCATCAATCTTAGTGTAAAGAAAGTTTCCTACAGGTCGCTGCAATAATAGATTTTTTAAAAAGCGCTCCAACCTCACGGGCCCAGCTAGGTTTGTTGTTGGGCTCAAGGTTTTTATTATAGTGATAAAGCTGGGGCTTCTTCTCTTGTTGCTGCTGCAAAGACACCAGGTAGGCATGCTCCTGCTGAAGCTGCCGCTGCAGCCTCTCCGACTGCCGCTGTTCCTCCAGCTGCTTTCGCTTGTATTCCTGCCCAAAACAATGCAAACTTCTTACAACATAAATAAAACCTTGATCTTTTAACAAACTGACTCACAGCCTGAGGTTTCATACACCTAATATAAATAATATAACTCCAATTTTACTACAACTAAAGCCTGTGAATATGAAAATACTGCTAACCATTTAAGTAACATGTTAAAAACAAGAACTGAACTTTTCTATATTTTTTCCACATCATAACTGAGTACCTATAAATTAAAAAGGTGTGAGTTTATACTTTGAAACCGATTGGGGTGAGATGTATACTACTAATCAATAAAATGGATGAATACATATTTTTGTTTAACTTTATTTTTGGAAAGTCTGGACTTTTTCCCGACCTATGCTCTACTTGAGCTCCCATGGCTCAGAGCAACATCAGTTTATCACTTTCTAGATGTTGATTCATAACTGATAAGAAGCTCGCTGTGTGTTAGCATTAGCTGAAAAAAATCTAATGTGTTCTATATTTTCATCATTTGTTGTTAAACATGACTGCTTTACAAGCTTGAATTTTTTTTTCCCTTTAAATTGAGGTAACTTCAAAGAGGGGATGATTAAGAACAGTTTTTGAAAGTCATGCATGTCAATCATAATTTTTTGTTATGAAACTTAAGGAGAAAACAACAAACAAAACTGGATTAAATGGACCTGGTAGGAAGTACAGTGTTCTAGTACTTAGGATCACTTTTTGACTTTGGCTTTAGATGCCAAGGAATTAAAAATTGTATTTTAAGACCGGTCAAGAGCAAAGCTGTGAAAATAACATGAACCGTGTTTATTAATATAATTTTTTCCCCATTTAAAATGTTCTAAATCGAATCTCAGCAATAACAAAACTCATTGTCGATTCAGTATTTTTGTTACTGCTATCATTTATCCCCTCTGCTCTGATATGGAGCTGGCAAACTAAGTTCATCCAGGGATCAGGAGCAGGAGAGATCCAATTTATTTGGTTTACAAGCTACACCTTTTCCAATTTGGCCTTAGACTAATGTCACAACCTGCACATCCAGTGATGCACCTGCAGGATCAGGATAAAGGTAAACAACAGTGAATCAATAGAAGATCCTGTTACTAAAGAAAGGCTCACAACATAATATTCTGAATTCAAATTTATTCTAATACTGAAACAAGTATGGAAAGCCAAAAGGGCCAGAACCTCAATTTATAAAAAAGGGGAATTCATTAAATTCCAATGCACCTGTTCTGGTGGGTTCTTGTCCCTCAGTGCTGTCAGTGAACTACATGTCTGAATGTTGGTTTCTATCTGATATGGAGTTTCATCATTCGGCATCAGTCCTTTTTTTTGAAGGGACATCATACACAGTCCGCTTTGTTTTAAAAAGATATAAATATAAACAATAAACCGTGGATGTCTGGGGGACAGTTATTCGCCTATATGTTATGAATGCTGGCGTACCATAAAGAATAAATTATGAACAGTTTAGTTTGTGCCTTCAAGTCGTTTGCTCATAGAAAGATGTTACTTAGATATAACCTAACAGAATATCTTCAGAGCAGCTCCAAATGACACAAAACTCATATGGGTGAGTAGAACATGATGTAATAACGAAAAAAATCAAGGGCCCAATGTAAAAAAAAAAAAGTGTTTCCCTTTAAGTGGATTGCTTGTGCTTCAATGGCACAGTTACAGACATATTGCCTTTTAATCAAACCTGGCCCATGTTAAATGTATCGTTATTATTATTGTCTATATAGACTGTTGTATCTATATAGGCTGCACTGTATGTTCCTACCTATTATATTTATCCTGACAAAACATCTCTGCTTAAACTAATCTGACTCTTGATAGGAAAAATTACAATAAAAGGAGAAGAATGCACATCTATTACATTTAACAACCTATGTATGGGTTATAAGAAGTCTTTTCATGAATGATAATGTTTATTCCTAACAATAATCATGCTAAATCTTCGAAACTCGTCTACTGGATATATGTGATGCTTCCAAATTTGCTGTTTCAAACAGCAGGCTAGACCCTCTCAAGGGTTAAAGAACAGCAGCTGATCCAATTCATGCTTTTCGGACATTTATGTATACTTCTTGGGCAAATTTGATGCCACAATCCATTTCTGATTACATAAGTTTAAACATTAAATCAACAGTTACTTAGTACTTAACCCTTAGTTGGGTAGTTTTTGAATGATGTTAAAATAGTGCTACTCTTAATTTAAAAAATGTTTAGGTACCTTCCCCAACTCTGTGTGTAATACTGGTACTAAAAAAAAATACTGTTTTAATACAGTTACTGCAAAAAACACCTAAAAATATAAAAATCAAGCCAATTATGCCGTGATGTGGTGAGAGGGTGGGGAGTTACAATTGTAGGTAAAACTGTGAGCATTCTGTGCCATTTTATGCATACAGTCGCTTTTGGATAATGATCTTTCAGTTTTAATGACAGCAACTCCTACACTCCACAGGAACAAGCTGAAGACAGAGATGCCAGAGGCAGGGGGTGGGAAGTATTGCCTCTAAATGAAGCAGGAGGTCCTGAAAAACTGCAAAACCTCCACAGTAAATGTAGGTCATTAACCCTTTTTAAGATGGGCTGTGTTTGTGTTTTAGAAGACCTAGACGGAGATCAAACTATTGCTCTTTACTGAAAACCTTTGTAGCTTTTAGCTTGGCGTAATTTAAAGACACAAATCCAAATTTATTTTCACATAAAGGCAAAAAAACAGCATCATAGGAAGTTCATGTCAGTTTAATACCTTAATCCCTTCCATTAATGAGCATTTATTACCAGGTGGTTGAGAATAAAATGTGTGCGTGCAAAGTGAGAACTGATCAAGCATCAGTGAGGACTAGTTACCATAAGTAGCGCCTGCTCCTGAAGCAACTGCTGCTGAAGGATTTCTAACTGCCGCTGCTCTTCTTCTAACTTGTGCCTGATAAACTCCTGCAGCGAGGTGAGAAGGCACACAGGAAAGGTGGCGGCATGAGAGAAAGGAAATGATGTGGGAGCAGAGTGGAAGATAAACACAGATAAAGGGTTATGTAATATCATTCCAGCAAGCATTAAAAAAAAAGAAAGGAAAAGATTCTGCATCATTTTAGGAGTAAAGCAGCTGCTGAGACTTGGTAAATAAAAAGGTAATTAAGATACACAGACTATATCAAATATGACATTGTGAGTAATACACAGCGGTACATTTCAAAGCATTAAATCATTCAGATATTTAGGAGGACGGTGTGTAGCACAGAAAGATGGTGCTGGTCTGATGCCAGACTCTGATGCCGCCGAGGATAGACTGGAAACTGAGAGAAGCATCGAGCTCACCCACAGAAAACTCATCTGAGTAAATACACTAATTTAGATCCTTGCTGCTATGGCAACCCACTCATGGAATTTCACCACCAGCACTGCAGACACGCCCACCTCTCCCCTGATTGGCCGAGGGCCGCTCTGCCTTTGCAGTGGTTGGTTACCTGCTCCCTCTCTGCCATCCTTCTGTCCTCCTCCCGTCTCATGTCGTCCAGTCTCCGATGGGGACCTTTTTCTTGCTGCCTCACCATCTCTCGCTCTTTTCTCTGTTGCTTGGAGAGAGAGGTGACAGAAAAGAGAGAAATGAGCAGAGGAGTTATGCATGCACAGAGGAATTAGATTGTTATAAAAAAAAATTAAAAAGGCAAAAAGATCTACTGTAAAGAGCTGGAGAAAAAAAGGAATAAAAGGTATGATTCACCTTTACAAACAAGCATTATAATCAGTGTTGGAGTGTACTGCTCCAACTGAAGCTTAAACTGACAGTGTCTTATTTTAAATGGGTTTCATTTTGTTGATTAAAACAAAAGCATGAATTCTTTGTGGTGCAGTAAGGATCTTTGACCTGCGCAGCTGTTTATCAGAATCAGAATCGGGTTTATTGCAATTGTTAGTGAAGGAGTTCACAAACTAGGAATTTTTTATGGTACAATCGTGCAACATGAAACAGGTAAATAAAATTATAAAAATCTCTAAAAACACTGGGGTATAAGGCATGCAAAAAATAGACTACGGTAATATATACACTTAGGATAAAAATATGGATTAAAAAAATATAAAAAGTAAAATGTACAAGGTAGTGCAAATAGAGCAGCGTGCAATACAGCAGTGTAAATGGCATGGGCAGGTTATGGAGTCTGACATATAGTTATGTGTTCATGAGTCTTACGGCAGAGGGGAAGAAACTGTTTTTATGGCGGGAGGTTCTGGTCCGTATGGACCGTAGCCTCTGGTATAACCTCACAGATCCATCTCATTTTATTACAATACCATCTAAAGGCTTTATTTCTGTCATTAAATCCCAGAAGAAAGACGTATTTAGGGAGGTACCGACAAGATATCGGAAATCGGTCCGATATCAGTGAAAAAATGAATATCCAAATAAATCTGCATCGGCACAGAAACACTATGCTTCTGTTTTTATTGTAACTCTTTGGTTAATAAATGGGTCAGTAATTTTCATACCGGATGTTGTCAACTATTGTTCTCCATTTGAGAGATCTCACTTAATCAAGCCTTTTCCATCATATGAAATAAAAGCATGGATGGTTCAAGCTTTTATTCATTTTTATTATTCCCCGAGCTTCGGCTTTGCAGTGTTCCACAGACACTTTATATGATGTATCTTAAACAGAGAGGGAGTAAAGATGAAAGCTTTTGGCATCAGTGGAAAATTTAAAAATGCAGGATAAGTAAACAGATACACGGAGATAAGCAATCAAAATAAACGGCAGACCGGAATAAATGCTTCATGTAAACATGTTGGAATATTCTGATTGAAATGAAATAGTGATCTGAATGAGTGGGCAGGTCTATCTCGAATGAAGATCTGATTGGCCTGCATTTAAACGATAGATAAGTTTAATTTATTCTGAATAAGGGAAGCTGATCAGGGTGTAAATCCTCTAATCGCTCTAGCTAGCTGTTTTCTGATTGGCTGTTTATGATGGCTACATGACACATTTTTAGTCTGATCAGCCATTTTATTCCGATTGTGTCTATATAAACGGTACAATTGATTACTTTAATTTTTTTTTAACTGAACACATTTCAATCCCATCATTAAATTTAGTGCATATAATCAAACATTACTTAGAAAACCAATACCAGCTATCTTTATATCAGTATATTATGAGAATATGGTCTTCAGGTACTGTTAAAATAAAATGATTGTAAATGTAAAGGTAGTTTAACTTCTCCCAGCTGGTATGTGGTGTCCTCACGCTCACCTACTATAGTTCTATAGTAACCCCTACATATCTGAACACATTCTGTGCATTTCGTATGTGGGGGGCCTCTACCTGTCCACCAACCTCTGCAATGCTTCTGAGCCCCTTTGCTTCCATAACTTGGTACCAACTCTCCAAAACCAGATCCATCTTCACCCTTGTTTGCTTCCTTTATAGTTTTTTTTTTTACCTTAAATCTGAGAAATGTAAAACTCTGATTCGATCTACCAAGGAGCTACTATTATCTGAGCTTGTCCCAAATTATTTTAATCTACTATTCCTATTCGTTTTGATTCCTTTCATGTTGACATTGGCATGGTAACCAGAGGTAAACATTTAGACATTTTGGACCTTTTAAAATATAGAGCATCTATTTTTTTTTTATTGAACTCAATACTTTTATTCAGCACCTCTTCTGTGATCAGATCTCAAAAAGACAAATGTGGGAAAAGTAAGATGCTCATGACGGACAATGAGGGAAAGACGACGCATTTCTTTTGTGACTAATTTCCAGTGTTATTTTACATTGTACCACCCTCATATCAAATTTAAAGAACTTTAGGAAACCTCAAAAAAAAGCTCTGAGAATCACCTTTCACTGCCTGAGCCAGTTATTAAACCTTCCAGTCTTTGTTCTTGCGTTTTCTACCCTTTTATCATAGTTTCCATCGTATTTTTTATGGTAAATTCCTCCTCCTGACAATGACTGCAGTTCTGTTTTTTTTTTTTGGTTTTTTTTGCATCTCGGAAAAAGTGTCTGGTTTTCTTTTAATAGTTTTTTTTTCTGATTTGAACCAGTTCAAAGTAGGACATTGTTTGGACTTGTGTGATATTGAGACAGAGGTGAAAAATGTGGCACAAATGGTGTCATCTGGTCCCCCTAACCACTGCAGACTGTGGATGAATTTTTTCTTTTAATTTATACTATCAAAGGAAATTTTTCTTCAACATAACATGACTGTTTTCACAAGAACGTAAGAAATGTAAGCTATATTAATGAGAGGTTTCTGTTCTACTTGACATTGTTTAAATAGATGCAGCTTTTACAATTTTAAAGCTACATAATTTCTTTGAAACCTTTGAAAACATCCCTGCTGCTGGTAAAGTGAAAAGAGGAAATCAGAGCTTCATTATATGGCGTCTGGTTGATGATGCTCAATTACAAAGTTTACTCACATGCACTTCTTCCGATTTTCGGTATCAAATGGAAACTTCTCTTTACTATTTCATCAGCTTTGTTTCTTCACCTTTGAACCCAATAACACAAAAACTATTGATCTTTCATGAGAACGCCACTCTTGATACTGTCACACGTCAGATGGGAACCATTATCTAAAGAGCTTACATGATTTATTTCTGATATAGGATGTGAAATCACAAAAAGAAGACTTATTTTCCCAAAAGAGCATTGGTCTCAATCTCGCATCCTCAAATCAAATAAGACCTCATTACCAGATTTCAGTAGAAGCTAAATGCATGCTAGTGAGGTAGCCTAGCTGTTAATTCAGGTGGAAAAGGGACACACCTAAAAGCTGCAGGACACCAGTTCGTCATGATCAGACACCACTACTATAAAGTTCAACAAATGACTTTAAATTTTTGTAATGGGAAAAAAAAAAAAAACATTGGAAAACAAATTGAGAACTTGAATGGAATTGAATAAAACAAAACTCCATTATGTTAAGAGGAAACAGGAGAGGGAGCTGGGGATTAACATTACATCCAAGGAGTGGGAGACGACAAATTAGGTGCATTACATTACTAATAAAGAAATGTGGAGATATTTCTCCTAGGAAAAAATGTATCAGCTATTTTTTTTAAACCCCAAATGAGGAGCATGTAAACAGACTGGTTGTTCTGGTCTGTGTGCTGGGGGGGGATGTGGTCCTCACGCTACCCTGGGATGGGGTTTATCAGGCTGTCAGAGGTGTTGGCTATAACATAAAATTTAATTACTTATCTTCTAATTGGGGGAGTATGTTCCCAAATTGTTGGGGATCCTAATAAAAGCAAATATTGTGTTAATATTAGGAGTATTTGACCTTTAAATTAAGCTAATATGATGAAAAATTGAAATGTATCTTATGACAAGAGGTGACTATTATGTTGACATGTCTAGTTTGTCTATTTTAAATAGACAATAAATAAATAAACCCAACAAATAATCTGAAAACAGAACAAATGCTTCAGTGAGAATTCACTCGGATGAGAAGTTGACCATTACCTCTTCAAGGCGCCGCCGTTGTTCCTTCTGCTCCTCAATGCGTTTCTGTCGGTCGTGTAACAGCTGCCTCTTGTGTTCCTCAGGATCTCGGCGCTGAGCCGCCAGTTGGGCTTGCTGCCTCTTGAGAGCCTCCGTGCGCTCCTTGTTCTCCTGCTGCAGCCGCTGGAAGTCCCGCCTCAGCGTGGACTCACCAGGCACGTTAAGGATGGAACTGATGATTAAAGTTAGGATCATGCATGAAAGGCCTTTCAAAGACTTGACAAATCCACTCATGTGTTTTAACGGCCACTAAAAAGAATGGATCAAATCATTACCTCGATTCTCTGTCATCGCCGCGATTCTCATCCTCCTCATCACTACCGCTGTACTCGTACTCCGTCTCTTCTGTAGGAAGAGGAAAAAATTATTTAATCACTCCAAAAACAAAAAATTGCAGCACATTGCAGGTCTTTGGGTCTCATCTCTTTACCTTTCTCTCCCCTCTTTTTGCGCGTGCGGTCAATGTGATCTTTGAGCTGAATTCGGACCTGCCGTTCAGTGGGCTGGTCCCTGATGAACGAATGCTTGAGCAGCTGCTCTGTGCTTTGCCGGCTGTGATAGGTCTTGACGAGGCAACCCTCTATAAACTCCATAAATTTCTTCGACCTGGGAGGAAGGTTAAGGTCAGGGGAGAAACACCTTTTCATGACAAGGGGAGCTGAGGGAGGTAAACCTGATTTATAACCCATCTAAAAAATTTGCAAGCTAATAAAAACAATTATTACATATTTAAAAGTGAAATCCTTATTGTTTTGCAATATGAAATGAACCCTAATCAGCCTTGTTATGACATTTAAACCAAATTAGTAATTTTAAAGGTTTCGCAGCAACACTTCAAATAACAGGAAATGAGGCCTTATAAGGAGGATGTAGTAATTTAACGCTGACATTTTTTCTAAGATGAGAGGGTTATTTTATCCCCCAAAAAAAGTAAATGCTCGCAACTTCGCCAAAACTAGTAAATACAGATGTATGGCTCCATTACGGTCAACCCTCCACTGCAGCTGATTTTAATGTTTTGCTGGTCGCCTATGGGACATCATCTATCCGACCTTTTGCACCCCTGCTTTCCGCCCAACGTTCTTTGATCCAAAGCCACTGGTCTTCTTAAAGTACTTAAGGCAAAAATAAATCTCTAGGAGAGCGTGCTTTTTCCCTCAAGCCCTCACCTGTGTGGAACAATCGCTCTCTTTTTTATAGCCAAGCTAAAGAGCCACTTGAGCACCTTGACTTATGCAGCCGAACTCGATGCCTAAACTTATGTCTTTATATTGTTGTTTTATTGTTGATTTAAGTTTTTATGTCAAATTATTTTATCTTTTCTTTTACAATTTTATCACCTGCTGTTCAGCGTTTTGTTCGAAAGCACTTTTTTGAAAGAACTTTAGTTATTTTTTATTGTTTTCAAAATATTTAGTATGCTTTTGTTCCAAAAAATATATATATATATATAGTATTGATAAATCCTTATTTCCAAAACAGTTCATAACCCAATAGTCACCATAACTGAATCTTTTCTGTAATCAGAACTTGGGGCTACAGAACAGGAAACTTGGAAGTTTAGCAAGGTAGTTTACTTCCTGCATACCCGAGTAGTCCAGAGAAGCAGGAGCTCAATCACAGGATTAGATTATGAGACAAATCTCTTTTAAATATCTCATTTGTCTCCAAAGACATTCAGCAAATGATGCAGCTGTTCATCTCCCCATCGTTTCCATTTAGTGCTCTACTCTGCCAGCTTGTTGTTGTGCTGCTAAACTATAACAACTCAAGAGCTGCCTTTTAGATGGTAATGAAATAAGCCCTTTCTCTGCTTTCCAAACATTACAGCTCTTTTTTTTTTTCAGTTAAAATGGGACAGAAAAAAATAAATAACAAAGGCCCACGGTAAAGAAATCTGAAACCAAATTGTCTGATTTTATGACTTACTGCTTGTAAATGCATCGCTCCACTTTATCAATGCAGCATTTTAAGGAAAACAAAAGGGTCTGGATAAGAGAGCCTTTTACACTCACCATTTCTTGGACTTCAGTTTCGGAGGAGGGTTCCTTGGAATCAGAAAGAGGGCCCTCATTGGGTGCATGTCACACAATGCTACAGAAATAAAGAAGATTATCAGAGTTAAATCCCCATAACCATGCTGAGAGCTAAGGATAAAATAAAGCAGGAACAAAAATACCAAACTGAATACATTTTCATGTTGAGCTACACACCCTGCATGTAGTTTGCAAATCATCTTAAACAATGTTATAGGTGCTTTTTTAAATCCTGAAACAAGGTTAGAGCTGTTACTCAATCTCTCCCTGTGCCTCAGGCTTATCGCTGCTCCGAATGTAAGAGCAAGGACTGTGAGTCACCATGCTCCTAGTGTAGGTAGGCAGCTAAACCTGACTGGTTAGCTTCAGAGTTTCACAGTAAATAGGCTTTTATTATGCAGTCTTTTGGAGACGAGCAACGTGACTGACGCAGCCAAAGGCAACAGGATTTGTCGTGAGGGCCACGATAACCACAAGCATCACAGCTAACTCACTGGGTGCTCCATTGCTTTCTTTCCCAAACATAAATGCGAGATGCTTCCAACAAAATCCTGCTAATGGAAAGGATCCAAGGTCAGAGTTCAACTCTGAAGGCATTTAATAGTAGACCATGAAGGAGAGGAAACTGTGCAATTAGTCATATGAAACCCCCCTAAAAAAGAAATCAGCAGGCAATTTAAAAGCTTAAAACTGAAACCATTACCTTAACCTTAATGACAACCCTGGTAAAAAGAGGGTTGGTGTCCAATACAGTAAACACAGTTCTCAAGAACCAAATATTATGAAACCCAACTAGTATGCCTACATTTCACCGTGAGCTGTTTGCAAAGCTTTGATGTCACAAAAAGTTTATCATTTGAAGTTGAAAGAAAATCAGGAATGGTTTCCAGATTTTATTTACAGAGGACAATATAAAGAAAACGTGGCTTAAGGCTGGGTGATACAGTTTAATCTCTGATATTTTTTCCCCCCAACTAAACTAAAATTCATCATTTATTTTCTCCCATTAGTTTCATGAAAAAAACAATGACAAATTACACACTTGGAAAAAAGGGTTTTCTTTAAATCACCCCCCACTGTTAGGTGACCTTAATATAAAATGACTGTAAAACAATCATGTTGCCAACAAACAATAAAAACACTACATATTTGCAGCTAGCAGTGTTACAAAGCGAGCTAGTTTCAGAGTTATTGGGAGATAACAAAGAACAAAAGGTGATGAATTGATGTTACTCTGACCTATGGAGGCCTAAGGAGATGATAGTAGTGACAACACTACATCTGATTAATTGACAATATTGATTTAATCACCCAGCCCTAAAGTGGAATACATCCACATTGTAACCCAAATTAAAGTCACCAACTGCTTTTGGAAGTTGAAATGGCTAAAAGAATCCACCTTAGTAGGTTAAAGCAGGTCTCCATCACTGCTCCCTACACAGCTCTAAAACTGTAAAGGGAACACACAACACAATATAACTTCAATCACTTAAAACCTCAGTGAAATCACACTGTCCACTAAGGAAGTAATATGCTGTTGTACAAATTAAATAAACAGGTAGACATTACTGGCAATTAGCAAAACATATTCAATAAAGGAGTGGGGGACCACAGACCACTTCTCACTTCCTTTGCTTTCTAGCTGATGTTTTGGTCACTTTTGAATGTGGGTGGTGCTTTCATACTCGTGGCCGCACCATTGATGATGGCTCATCAATGCGGGCTGTGGCAAAAAGGTTAGCTGTGTCTGTCAGCATAGTGTCCAAAGACTGGATATGCTACTAGTAAACGGGCCATTTCACCAGGAGATGCGGAGGAGGCTGAAGGAGGCCAACAACCCAGCAGGAGGGCCCTGGACAGGTCACCAGTCCATCGCAGGGCAACACCTTTCTATAACAATCGCAGCTGGTTCCAGTTCATTTTGGGGCTCTTTTGCATGCTGTTGTTCAACTAATTTTCTTTCGCATGGCTCCACCTGACGACTCTCCACTCGCTTCGCCTCGTCATCAGATAGGAAGAGTTTTTCTCCACTTTCCTGTTGTCTTTTCAACTCAACATTGCAGACCTGGATTTTGCCGAGTCACCAATGAACCTGACAGTCATCATTATTGACTGTGAGAGGAAGTCAGAGTATCCGAGAGATCCCATGTATGCACAAGATAAAAAAAGACATGTAACTCCATACAGGAAGACCCCAGCTTTAGGTTAAAAAACAGGACCTTCTTGCTGCAAGGCAACACAAAATTTACACTACCCTATGAAAAGCGATCCGTGCCGAGCTCGGTTCCTTACAACCATTTACACACCATGCTAGCACGGTTGCTCACCTCCTAGTGACAATCTACGGTACTACTGCTTTCTAGAGGTAAACAGGCAAACAAACATGGCAGCGCCCCTAAAATTCAGGAAGTTTGCGGAGAGTCAGGCTAAGAAGGCAGCCTTTGGTAAATTTACTTGAAAGACTCGGCTTTAGGAAAGTTGAGGCGACAAATGATAGTCTAATCAGGGCTTACAGATGCAGGAAACAACGACTGATGTTGAGGTTAATCACATTGCTAAGCAGAATCATCAGTGGAAATCATGTGGCACGGTAGGGAAGCTAGTATTTTTATGAATGTCGGAAATGTCCTGATTACGGAAGCTGACTGTAAGGAGTCTGTTAATGTGCTTTGTATTATCTGAGAACTGAGCCAGAACCGATAAAGCCCTACTGATAAACTAGTACCATGTTAGCGCAATTTGGCTGCGTCTGGCATGGTCTGCTTCAGATGTGTGTACCATTTACACTCAACAGTTATTACCGATCTCGGCATGGTTTCAAAAGGGTAGTGTAAATGGGGCTATAGTTTGTCTTTAGAGGGCACTTAGGCATGCTTCTTTTAGCAAAAGGGCCTTATGAAGCCCATTTGCATGCCACTGCCTTTGGTTTCAATTAAAAGGCCAATATTCATAGAAACGACTTGATCCCAAAACATTTAATGTAACATGTTGGAGAAGTTTTCCTTCAGCTTGAATTACAAAGCTGTGAAAGACCGACAGCAGCATGGATGGAGCTTTGTATCTGAGAATAACTGAAACACAGAATTAAACAACTTAATAATAATCTGAAAAGGAGGTAAGATGAATGCAGGTTAATCTTCAAAATGTCATGAGTGCAGTATAACCGAAAGCAGGCCAGCTGACAGTAGGATATGCCCAGCTCCAGTCGCCTGGTAATCACGTCACTCAAATTCAAAACATTGCAACCTCTTAATAATACCTGTTGTTCCTGTCTTAATACTAACTTCATCTAGAAAAGATGAAAAGAAACTGCTTTTTGCTTGGCGCCTTCATAAAACACGTAACATAAGGAATTAGTATTAAACTGTTTTTCAGTTCCATCTGTTCTGAATAATAAAGCTAATCTTCATTTTTAAAGTCAAAGGGAAATGGCCGTTCCAACCGTTTTATTTCCCAATTCTCCCGTGTGGTGCCCAACTTTGCACGAGTAAATAAAGTGAATGTAATTGGTTGTTTATCAAGGGGGAGGGATTGTTGTGGTGGAAGGTTCGCAGGCAAGTTTGGTTTTGCCTGCGTCTCTGAAGCATCTTGCTAATCAGTTAGCAACTTAGTGCTACTAGGTTCCCAATGGGAAATTACATTAGGACCAAGTAGCACGTAGCAACGACACTGTTAAGGAACGCCATGGACAGCAGAAACATGCAAGAGGAGAAGAGTTTTGTGTCAGAGGTCGTGGACGAGTCTCCTCCGTGAAACATTTTTTTATTTAGAGGAGGAAAGAAGGGACGAAGATGTTGTGAAAGAGGACGCCAGGGCGACAGAAGCTTGCTTTGGTGAAGAGGGCTTACAGCCGTACATGTTTGAGCCCTTGCCTCGCAACACTGCCAGTTCTGTTAGCTCTACGCCTGCTGAAGACACAGACGTCCATCCCTGTGAACACTGGGACGGAACCCAATGGGAAAGGAAATGATTCTTATTTCTTATTTCAACCGTTGTGTATATTAGCTGCGACATATAAATCAAGACCCTTGATATATGATTGAAGCTGACTTATAACTACCTGGCCTGCATAAAATAACAGATTTTAAGACAGGATTTTCTTTAAAAACAAATTATCTAACTTTTGGGACAATATCGTCTGTTAAAGAGTACATTTATATACATATTTAAGCCAGAAAGATTTGAAATTTAAATACAACTTCACTACGACTTCAATAATGTGAGCATTTTAAATACCTTTTTCAGAACCTTAAAGTGAAACAACAGAACTCTTGCTTAAGTTTATCACAACATCAGAACCTCCTATCATCTCGACACATTCCACTCCCAGAACGGGCACAGACAGGCTCAGATTTCCACAGCAGTCTCCCTTTAAGATCGTTTGCTTTGCTTTTCAGATTACTTCTTCCATTTCAAAACTCAAATCAGAGTTGCAAGATACTGAAAAAAAAAATAAATACAAAACAAGCAATCACCAGACTAATGTAACGCAGCTCTCTGCTACCAGAGACAAGCCCCAACCTTTGCCAAGCTTGTCCACCCTACTTCCCAGATATTCACTCAGTCTTTGGTTCTGCACTAAATCCCAAGCTGAGATCTGTGCCATGAGCCTCCACAGACCAACTGACAGCTCACAGCTCCACTACCTTAATGAGAGTGAATCATCTGTCCATCTGAAGACACAGACAACTGGGCCACAAACACAAGACGCACTCATTCATGAGGTCTTTCAAACTGGCTTTGATATTAGGATAATTATCTAATGCAAGATAGAAATCAGAAATTAGATCAAAAACTTACGAGGAGCTCCCTCTGCCATCTCAATGGCTGTGATCCCCAAAGACCAAATATCACTCTGTAAGAAAAAGAGGCAGTACAGCGTTATTGTTTTATTCTCACAACGCAGAGAGCGAGCAAATAAAGGAAGAGCTGCTGCAGTCACCCTGTAGTCGTAGGTGGAGTCAGGATTCTCGTCGCAGGCGATGACCTCGGGTGCCATCCAGTAAGGAGTCCCGATGAAGGTGTTCCTACGTCCAACAGTCCTGTCCAGCTGAGCGCTCACCCCGAAATCAACTGCATTCAGAAGGTGGAGACTTGTGAAGGTGTGAGATCATCATAAACAGACCAATTAAAGCAAAACATACCTAGCTTGACCTCAGCGTTCTCCGTTAGCAGGACGTTCTGGCCCTTGATGTCTCTGTGGATGACTTTGTGGGCGTGGAGGTGAGAGAGACCCTATTCACAGACCAAGATATCAACCACGGTGGTCAGTGAGCAGAAATGGCTATATCAGAATGGATCTAAGTAGAAAAACTACAGCTTCCCACCCTCAGGATCTCTCTGCAGATGTACGCAATCCAGTCTTCCTTCAGAGAGCTGCCTTTAGTGTTTTTCACCAAGTCAGTCACAGATCCTGCTCCGCAGAACTCCATCACCAGCTGTGCAAAAGAAAAACGCGCTCAGTGAAAAGCACTATTGGTGACTGAGTCATCAGACCGGGTAGGAATCAATGTGGACTTACCCAAAGTTGATCGTCCTGTCCTGGTGGGCTCTTCTTAACAAAGGCGCCGTAGTACGTGGCTATGTTGCGGTGGTGGCTGTACTTTTTCAGCATGTTGATCTCAGCTTTGATCTCTTCCTCTTCCTCCTCTGTAACGTCCATCACTTTGATGGCGGCCAGCTGACCCGTCTTCACGTGACGGCCCTGATAAAAGAACAAATCAGAACAGCTCAGCAGTCTTAGATTAACATAATGTGGAACAATCAGGAGCAGCTAACTGCTATTTCAAGTCATTGTTTTACTCTTGTCTTTAAATTCAGGGTCTCTCATCTTCTGAACCAAGCTAACTTAAATCCTGATGCACAAGTTACTCTGCAAAATATATATAAAAAAACAAAACAAAAAAAGACAGCTTTTTACAGCTATTCAAGAAAAATGCACTCCTGTAGAAAAGCTTCTAGTACTCCTGTAAAAATGCTTCAACAGCAGCACAACATCCATTTAGTGGGAAAAAAATATTTCTGCCACAATAAATCCTCTGGTAAATAGAAGAGCAGTTAGTCTTCACAAACATTGTAGCAGGGTGGAGCAAGCAAAGAGAGGAACATCTGAACCTTTCTCTAGATGAGAGGTATTCAAGTCCAGTCCTCCAGGTGACTTGAACCTTTTAAATGTGTCCCTGGTCCAACACCTCAATCAAATGGCTGAATCACCTTCTCTGATGGTAGTCAAGTTCTCCAGAGTCCTGCTGATGACCTGATTATTTTCCTCAGAGGTGTTAAATCAGAGACGCGTCTAAAAAGGTGCAGGACACCGGACCTCGAGGACTGCAGTTAAGGAGGCCTGCTTTATTGGAAGGAAGAACCGAATGTGTTCGATTGTAATCCTGCTGAAAAACCCAATGATTTATTGAGTGAATTTTGTTCCATTATTGTACGAGCAAAAAGCATGTTTTGTAAATGAGACTAGGAAAAAATTGTAATCTAGGAATAAAGAAAAAACAAAAAAAAAATAAAAACAGTTTGTACGTGTAAATTTGCAATTTTCTCAAATTTCATTTTTCAAGTAATTTGTTTTTCTGTTTTTTCTTTTTTCATATTCTATTTTTTCCAAATGTAATTTTTCGGATTTCACTTTCATATTGATTCTTCCGAATGACATTTTTTTCTAATTGCATTTTCCAGGTCAAGTTCTCTTCATTTCTGAGGACGGACCTTCCTCTGAATAAGGAAGAGAAAAGAAACATTTCTATTGGTCAAGAGCGTTTGTATTGAGTTTGAAGTGAAGAAAATGTGAAGTCTGAAAAGAATGCAGTTTGTAAAACTATCTGAAAAAAATAAAAATAAAGAAATAAGGTAAAATATTAAAAAAAAACTATTGAGTAAAAAATTAATCAGTAGAATCTGAGAAGACTGTAAAGCAGGCATCCCCAAAGTCTGTCCTCGAGGGACGCTGTCCTGCAGGTTTCAAATGTTTCCTTGCTCCAGCCCAGCTGGTTTTAATTGAAAGCTGATTAACAGGCTTTTGCTCAACTGCAATCATCATAATCAGCTGTGCTAAAGTAGGGAAACCTGCAAACCTGCAGGACAGTGGCCCTCAAGGACCGACTTTGGGGATGCCTGCTGTAAAGGTACTTAAAAAAATGGTTTTGGTTGTTTTAAAGTTGATTGCATTTTTTTTTATTAGTATTCACAAAATGTGTTCTTTGCATCACTAGTGGGACATAATTCCCTCCATAACAATCACTTTTGTTTGCAAATTTTTATTAAATCCAGCTTTTTGCAACTTATGAGTTAAAAGGAAGTTTAAAGCAGTATTCAATAACTCAAAAGGGAACCAGGCCCACAGGATCACAGATCCTCCACCATACTTAATTACAGCTATGAAGCGATTCCCCACAGAATTTGCACCAAGCCGGGTTTTTTTTGCATACAATTATTCCTCCTAAGCACAAAGCTGCAGTTAAAGTCCAAGCACTGTAGTTGTTTTTTTGTGGTAAAGCATTTTTCAGACATGCCTCCAAAACCACTGGCTGATATGTAAATAATGTCAATTAGCTCTAATGGAGTCTTGATGATCCCAAAATGGCCGTCTTTTAGGTAGTTACTTCTATCATGATCATTTTGTTTACTGTTGACAGGGGAAAGATGATTACAGGTCCTCATCTCACCTAGTGATCATCAGCTGAAAAACAAAATGGCTCTCTGTGTAATGATACATTTCTACTCCAGGAAAACAAAAGGTCATAGATTGTTATGCGAGGTCCTACCAAATGGGAAATTCAAGTATTTAAACATTGTTCAGTTACATTTATCAATATAGCAGATAATAGTATGATTAATGCTGCCTCCAAAAATACTTTATTTTTCTTATTTTTTATTTACTTGAAAGATATAGATCTATGCGTGTATATAAGCATTCTGACTTACCTTGTACACTTGCCCATATGTCCCATTGCCGACGACCTCGACCAGCTCAAAGATTCCTGCCGGATCCTTTGGAAGAAACAGAATAATTTCCATCAAAACACACAGTGGGATAAGAAATAAAACTAAATCAGAAAATAAAAACGCTAAATACATAAAAGAAAAATAAAATCTCATTGTACAAATAAAGTCAACTTTGTTTGGATTGACATACTACAACATATATTAAATTCAAGCAAACTGTTCTCTTTCTAAAGTGGGTGCTGAGCCTGTGTAAAGGTTGAACGCCACCTTCTTTAAGCTGTTATGCAAGAGTCAGGTACAGGACGGATGCTGGAGTTTGTATACAGGTTATTGGCCAGAGGAGTTGCAAAATATCTGGATCTCTAATATCAGCAAATATTGCAATATCATGCGTCCCTGAAAATAATCTCTTACCATTTTCTGTTTAAGATGAATAATGATATATGAAGCGGACAATGAATCGTTATCTGTATATTTCACAATATAATTTTATTCAATAGCATTTCTGATATTTCAATATACGTTACAGTTTTTTATTACAGCATGTTACGGAATGACAATCTGAGCCCTATGCAGTTTTTTTATTCATATTTCTAGAATAATTTTCACAGGTTTGTACAGGCATTTATTGTGGACATTCTTGGTAATCTTTAAGTTACTTTTTTTTTCTATGTTCATATCATCATATAATAACAGAAATTATGAAATATAAAAAAATTTTTGGTCACGACAGATATCAGTAATAAAATTTAAAAAATATGGATTAGAGATGTTAATCAATTTGGGATTAATTTTCAATGGTTTATTAGATCAAAATTAGCTCCAGTTCAATCCGATTAACTAATAACGTCTGCTTTGAAAGACATTCCTTCAGTGTTGCGGTATTAACAATCAATCAAATTCTTTATTGTCAACTACAATTTGCATTGTAATCGTGATTCCAGTTTCAGTACAAACAGTTAATTACAGGGGAGGTATGGCAGAAAGAATGATTTACTGAGGCCATGCGTGCCGCAGAACGCCGCCGTTTGAGGGTTCTTATGGCTGCTAGGGGCCCTAACATGAGGCGGTTCCCTTAGTGCGCTGACTTTATCTCTGTTGAAAGATGGATAACGCCGTCTAGTATACAAGTATAAGTATAGGGTGGTGCTGTTCAATCTTAGGCAGAGCCTCATTGGTATTTGTATGAGAAGTAAAGCATGCTAGAGCAGAAACATGAATGGATCCAGACTTTGGCCTGGGATTATTGACTCTCTTTAATGGAGACAATGATGTAAATATAACCACTACATAGACTCCTTAGGTAATCACATGTTTTAAAGGCACTGCTAGCAGCATTAAGTCTCTCTCAGCATCAATTGTTGGCTTAAACTAAAAACAGAGAGCTACATCACAGTTTCCTGAACGAAGTCGTACATAATCTTGACAGTATATCAGAGTGATATACCCCGTCTGCCAATTATAGCTTTACATCTCTTTATATTAGAAATTATAAGTGTTTCACATGTTCCATTCATATTTTTTTTATTTAGTAACCCAATAGGTTCATGATTTGTTAGATCTTCTAAATGTGTTTATTAATGTGCAAGAAAATATGGCAAAATAAATCGCTGAAGTGTAATGATGTACTAATATTTCTTTAAGCATATTGTAAGAAAGAGATATAGGTTTTAGTTAATGGAAAGATCATCTTGATGGAAGAGAACATTTTTTGGCACATTTGTATCAGTCCGATATTTAAACTGGCTTGTATATCAGCCACCAATAGTTATTAACTTGTAGTTTCTGTTTTCATTTCAGGAGGAGAAGAGGGATCGGTCACGTAGTGTTTGGTCATGTGACTGTGAATCCAAAAAGTTAAAAAACAATCGACTAGACTTTGTTTTCCCAAGTGTGAAGACGTATCACTTCCCACCCAGGAAGCTTTTTCAATTCAAAATGTCAGAAATAGCATTGAGTTTGAGGCTTTATAGAGTAGCCCAAAACAAAGCCTTGTTATGGCTTAGAAAACATGCAAATTAAACCAGAGGAACAGGCCCACCCCTGAGTAATGGAGAGCTGTTGAGGTCTTTGTTAGCATGCAATATCCAATACTGGCCTATGCCAATGAAAAGGGGGGTCGTTATGGTCATTGTTGGCCTGGCTGACCAGGCAAGATGGCTTATTATGATAGTGGGAAGGAATCAACTCCATTGCTGGAACCCGAGTCTAACCCATCTGTTTAAGGTTGGTTTTTTTCTCCTAATATAAATGGCTTCCTTCAATTTGCCTGTTTTCTAAGCCATAACAAGGCTTTGTTGGGATACTCTATAAAACCTGGAACTTCCAAACTTGGAAAACAAAGTCCAGTAGTTTAACTTTTTGGAATGACTACGACCTGGATAGGTGAAAATCTTCACCAGCTTGTGACCGTGATATTGTAAGCTTGTGATTTTGGGTCTTTAAAGCAGAGAGGCGATGTCTGCACTGTGTTTAGTCTTTCGTGGTGTCAAAGTGTAGGAAAATAAATGGTATCCGTTAATATCATTTACTGGTGGAAACAGCAATATTAATAGTCGATATCAGTATCGTCCCAGATTTTTTATTTATGTGCATTTCTCAAAAAAAAAACTATCAAAGCCTTGTCCCAAATGTCACATAGGAATTGTTTTAACAAAGCAGTGATAAAAACGTATGAGAAGCTGAAAATATACTTTTCTATAAATCCATGAGTTAATAAGTATCCAGCATATACCGTCCTGATATAATCAAGAGTCTGATTTCTCTGTGGAAAAATCTCTCGATAATTTTGAATATCAGTAAATAAAAGTCAGTCTCTTACAAGAATTTGCTTTGATATTCATAAAGCCTTAATAAAATAAGCCTAAGCACAGGTCTAAAAACAGAAAAAGGCCTAACATTAAGAACATTTTATGGATTTTTTTAAATCTACATACCAATGTGAGCTATAGCTCTGTCACATAAACATGAGGTCTTTTAACAGCATAAACCTAACTCTAAAAGGAAGGTTACTGGGATGATTTCTGCTCTGTGCATTAAAGCCAATGATAATCAAACATCCTTGTATAAAAAGAACATCAAATGCCAACCCATAAGACTTGATAGAGGGAGAATAACCAGAGTAACATAAAGAAAAGACAATCAGAATGGATTACAGAATGTATTACAGTACGATAGATGATACACTGATGGATGAAACCTTTAAAAACTTTTACTAACTTGCTTCTTTTTAGGATTCAATCATTTTAAAATTCCTGCATTGTGCACAGAGATTTCACTGACACTAATAATGAGTAGGTTGCTTTGACAAAATTATGCAACCCCCCCCTCCCCAGAGATAAGCGAAAAATGACAAGCAGTTCCACTTTCATGCAATTTCAATATGGCTTTAAGAAGATGAGTGGGTGGTAAGACTGCTGCCTTGGGTATCAAATCTACACCATGACCCATCCTGCTTTCATCCATCTCCAGTCATGGGGCTTCTACCATCTAAACAGAGGTTTTTACTTTATGAAAGGGAGCAAACGCAGAAAACAAAACAACAAATCAGAGTTTGGTAAGGAAAATATATAATGCAATAGATGTAAAATCAGATCTAATGTTAAAGACACTATACAGATTTTTAAGCTCGCTATGAAAAGGGACACAACAGAGGAGGAAATGTGACGTAAAACGAGAGGAATGATGGTATTGAGAGAAATAATGTAATGATAGAGTGGGCGGTGAGGCAGAGGAGGTAGCTTCACCCACATCCAGCACGGAGAGTGGGATGAGATGAAGGAGTTGAAAGAAGGGGAAGGGTACAGTTATATTCAAGCATCAGCAAATCGGCTCGGAAAATCGACAAAGCGAACCACAAATATACGATCACAGGGAGAGAAATCAGCATAGCAGGGCAGACAACAGATACATACTTATTCTTCTTGGTTGATTATGCTAAATAAATAAATAAATGCAGAAGGCATAATGACCTGTACATACTACATACAGCGTTAAACTGTCCTACACTGTAAAGTAGAGTGTCTTTGAAAGACTAGTGAACTTCCTCGGGCTATGAATATCAAAGTTCCTGCAAGAAAAATCTTTCATGAACACAAACAATAAAAGTTAATCTTACAAAAATATTTTGACATCAAAAGAAGAAAAAAAAGGTCTATGTTCACTCAGTAGCTCTTGATGCTCATTCCTGATCTTTTTCTGAAATCTGATCATTTTGAGATAGTTGTTTATTCTAATTAATAAAGATGTCACACAGCGGTGCACGATTGATCAAAGTTATCAATGTAACCATCACAAGCTTCAAATGCGGAAATGCGGTATTTGATACACTTTATAAACTGTCGGCTAGGTCTGCAATGTAGTACCACACATGGCAGTGGCTCAAGGATTAGGGTCAGAATTGGCTGTGTGAACGCAGCCTAAGAAATAATTTTCTTTTATGATACAGCTACATGCTTAAAAAAATAAAAAATGGCTTTTAAGGGGTCATAAACTAGTATTTTATACAAACAGTCCTAAATTAGTCTAATATCATTTGTAGGGCTGCAACTAACCATTATTTTGCAAATCGATTTATCCGCAGAGAATTTTTTTGATTAATAATCGGATAGCAAAATGTTCCTTAAAGAAGATTTTTGTATGACAATAAAATAGGTGAAACTAAAACTTTTCCACTTGTGTTCTGGATAGAGAGATTAATGGATGAATTTTTTTTTTTTTACAATTTTGATATTTTTACTGGAGCTGTTCAGTGGCACAGTTGGTAGCACTACTGCCTTGCAGCAAGAAGGTTGCGGGTTGGATTCCCGGCCCAGGGTCTTTCTGCATGGAGTTATGTTCTCCTTGAGCATGTGTGGGTTCTCTCCAGGTACTCTGGCTTCCTCCCACAAATTCTCCTTAGGTGTGAGTGTGAATGGTTGTTTGTGTTGCAACTGGCAACCTGTCCAGGGTGTACTGTGCTTTAGACAGCTGGAGACCCCCCACTCGGGATAAAGTGCATCATTAATTGGATGGATATTATTACTGCTCTACGTTGATCGCTCTGTCAGGTAAAAGCATATTTTAGAATCTCTATACTCAGTTAACAATTTATCAATTACTAAATTAGTTGACCATTTCAATAATCGATTAATTAGATTAGATTAATTCTTTCAGCCCTAGTCATGTGTAATCAATTTAGTGGAATCTAGATCCATATTCATACCACTTCTAATAAGGATAGGTGGGAGAATTACACTTTGTGTATGTACGTTCATGTGAATGCAGGGTTAGTAATGTTAGCTTCCTGCTCCCTAACACAATAGCTAAAAAGTTACACAAGCAGCATCACTTATGACCATCAGGTGAATCTCTAATTGTTGGGAAAGAGACGGTGGAGGGGATAGCGAGGTGGGCTAATGCTAGCATGCTTCAGTGAATAAAACAAATCAAGGATGAGGACCAAAATGTGGAGAGCAGAAAACCAAGTCAGTCTTTCAATCTGTAGATACTTAGTGAAGCCAAACACCACCACAGACATTTGAATATCAAAATGGGAAAACAACTTCAAAAGCATTACAGTATTTTCTAAAGGTCTTTGTGGTTTTCTGATTTACAAACGTTATCATGGAATCTTTGAAAACTCTGCTTGAAACTACAACATCTATTTCAGCATCAAAATTAATAAAATTAATTTCTTACCCCATGAACACCAAGTGTTTCCTATCTGATACATGCAACCTCTACATCAGTGTGATACATTTGTTCTTAAAAATCAAATTCACATATAGTGAACAGAAAATCTAGGGGAAATGTCTAATGAATCATAATTATCCAAATAACTTAATGAATTTAGAATATTCAAAACTGATATTTGTCCCCATTTATCAGAATGTTTAATAAAAATATTAGTTTTGAAAATATTTTATTTGCCAACAATAATTTCAAGGTTTAGGCTTCAGGTGTGTTTCCAATTAAAATGTCCTTCTCAAAATATAACCCTTAATGCTGCCTGGAAATCACAAGATCTTTTTATTGTATTTTTTTTGTGCCACTGAGTTGCCATTTTCTATATTTGATGTCCGCTAACTTTTCATGTTAGCAAACAGAAAGTAGAAGTTTGCATGTTTGAAGTTAACACCGTCCGTAGCTAGAGGTGATTGCATGGCATTCTATCATTCAGAAGGTGACGGCAACGCCCGAGAGACGCTGCCGTGTGGCCAGGATTACAGCCGCACAGAAGAATGCTAGATGATGATGATGATGATGAATGCCACCTACCGTACTTTGATGTTTGATTCAACTTCTAAATGGCACTTTTAAAATGGTGACTTTGCAAAATCACAAGAACACTTTCACACTTGTATCTGTTGGGTGCTTTTGGCCAAATACAGTTTGGTGATAAAACGTTTTAACAAAAAGGGAAGGAAACAGAAAGGATGCAGTTCTTACTGTAGTTTAGAATAGCAAACAGCTGCGAGGTAATCCCTATACCTCAGCATTGCTACCAAAAAAAATAATAACCAAAAACCCAGTTGTAAGATGCACAGCCAAAAAGGGAAAGGCTTATCTTTAATGTACTCTCATCTGTCTGACACTTTGATGTTGATAAAATGTACTATGGGACAAATAAAATATTATTCTATACTAAAAAAGTAAAAAACATGGATCTGAAAATCAAATGTATAGTAATTATCTACAGTTTGACTAATGTCTTTAAAATGGGCTAGGTTATGGTCCCCTTAAGGCCAATACGGCAACATCTGCCACTAGAATGATTTTACATACAAAAAAAGAAAAACCTCTTTTCAAAATATAAAGAAACTAAATAGTTTTGGTGGTGATGAAATAGGCTTAGGCACCTCAATCTAGCAAAACCTTGTATAAATTGGTTATTTTTCCAGACATTAACCTGGATTTTAAGCATACAGGTGCTGGTCATAAAATTAGAATATCATGAAAAAGTAGATTGATTTCAGTAATTCCATTTAAAAAGTGAAACTTGTATATTATATTCATACATTACATACAAACTCATATTTCAGATGTTTATTTTGTTTAATTTTGATGATTACAAATGACAACAAATGAAAATCTCAAATTCATCATATCAGAAAATTAGAATATTGTGAAAAGGTTCAAAATTGATGGCCCCTTGTGCCACACTCTAATCAGCTAATTAACTCAAACCACCTGCAAAAGCCTTTAAATGGTCTTTCAGTCTAGTTCTATAGGCTACACAATCATGGGGAAGACTGCTGACTTGACAGTTGTCCAAAAGACGACCATCGACACCTTGCACAAGGAGGGCAAGACACAAAAGGTCATCGCTAAAGAGGCTGGCTGTTCACAGAGCTCAGTGTCCAAGCACATTAATAAAGAGGCGAAGGGAAGGAAAAGATGTGGTCGAAAAAAGTGTACAAGCAAGAGAGATAACCGCACCCTGGAGACGATTGTGAAACAAAACCCATTCAAAAATGTGGGGGAGATTCACAAAGAGTGGACTGCAGCTGGAGTGAGTGCTTCAAGAACCACCACACACAGACGTATGAAAGACATGGGTTTCTGCTGTCGCATTCCTTGTGTCAAGCCACTCTTGAACCACAGACAGCGTCAGAAGTGTCTTGCCTGGGCTAAAGAGAAACAGGACTGGACTGCTGGTGAGTGGTCCAAAGTCATGTTCTCTGATGAAAGTAAATTTTGCATTTCCTTTGGAAATCAAGGTCCCAGAGTCTGGAGGAAAAGAAGAGAGGCACTTCATCCACGTTGCTTGAAGTCCAGTGTAAAGTTTCCACAGTCAGTGATGGTTTGGGGTGCCATGTCATCTGCTGGTGTTGGTCCATTGTGTTTTCTGAGGTCCAGGGTCAACGCAGCCACATACCAGGAAGTTTTAGAGCACTTCATGCTTCCTGCAGCTGACCAACTTTTTGGAGATGCAGATTTCATTTTCCAACAGGACTTGGCACCTGCACACAGTGCCAAAGCTACCAGTACCTGGTTGAAGGACCATGGTATCCCTGTTCTTAATTGGCCAGCAAACTCTCCTGACCTTAACCCCATAGAAAATCTATGGGGTATTGTGAAGAAGAAGATGCAATACACCAGACCCAACAATTCAGAAGAGCTAAAAGCCACTATTAGAGCAACCTGGGCTATCATAACACCTGAGCAGTGCCACAGACTGATCGACTCCATGCCACGCCGCATTGCTGCAGTAATACAGGCCAAAGGAGGCCCAACTAAATACTGAGTGCTGTACATGCTCATACTTTTCATGTTCATACTTTTCAGTTGGCCAACATTTCTATAAATCCTTTGTTTTTATTGGTCTTCAGTAATATTCTAATTTTCTGATATGATGAATTTGAGATTTTCATTTGTTGTCATTTGTAATCATCAAAATTAAACAAAATAAACATCTGAAATATATGAGTTTGTATGTAATGTATGAATATAATATACAAGTTTCACTTTTTAAATGGAATTACTGAAATCAATCTACTTTTTCATGATATTCTAATTTTATGACCAGCACCTGTATTTCATGAGGTTATCCATCCATTTTCTGACACCCTTTATCCCGAGTGGGGTTGCGAGGGTGCTGATGCCTATCTCCAGCTGTCTACGGGCGAAAGGCAGGGTACACCCTGGACAGGTCGCCAGTCCATCGCAGGGACAAACAACCATTCATTCACACACACACACACACACACACACACACACACACACACACACACACACACTCATACCTAAGGAGAATTTAGAGAGTCCAATTAACCTAACAGTCATGTTTTTGGACTGTGAGAGGAAACTGGAGTACCCGAAGAGAACCCATGCATGCTCAGGGAGAACATGATAACTCCATGCAGAAAGACCCTGAACCGGGAATCGTGTATTTCATGAGTATTTTTCCAAAAGTTTCATCTCATCAATATGTGTGGGACCACTGTCAAAAAAACTGCATCCAAGGTTCAAACCATCCATTTAAAAAAAACGGTTATCAAAATGAATCCAGACTCAAGCATTCGTTGACTGGAAACATGACAGTCCAAAGGGAAGCCAGTAATACACAAACATAGAATGAAATAAGCTAGAAACAAGCTACTAGTCCAGAATAAACCCCTGTGGTCTGGACTAAAGTTGGCAGCTTCTGAAGAGAGGATTAATAATCAGAAAAGGAAAAGATTGACAAATCTGACAACATTGTTGTTTGGATTGTAGTCCAGATAAAACTTTCAAACCTCAGAACACTATAGCCCCCTGCCAAGCATGGTGGAGGTAGCGTCATGCTTAAGGCATACTAAACTGAATAAATTACAAATTTTCAAGAGAAATTGCAAAACGCACACATTTATGATAATGCTGAATTTGGTTACTTAGTTAATAGATAAATGTATAACTTTTACACTTAGTAGGAGGTATTTTTCAGATTTGAAGGAGTTCATTTTTAAAACATGCTGGTTACTGGGGTGGGGAGTGAATTTCCAAAAAGTGGATGCAAAGTTTTATTTCCCTTTGATTTACAAAGCTTTATTAACAAAGAAATAAGCCTGGAAACTTCCAAAGTATCAGGGTGCAGCTGATTATAACAGCTTTTAATGTCCACAAAATAATATGGTTGTAATTTTGCAACAAAAAAAATAAAATTCCTCTCAAAAGCCAATTAAAAACTGCTGTTTAAAATAAAAATGGTGCTGTGATGTTGTTATTCAGGTGGAGAATCAGAGGACATCTGTAAACAACACAGCTGCCCAGGAAGGCTTTCTGCTGCTTTTCACCTCAACTTTGCTGCGTGGGTGTAAACATGATTGTGCTCAGAGGAAAACTCCTATAATGACATAACTATCACGATTAAACCACCTTCAATAATCAGGGAGCTAATACTCACCCTCAGAGCTGCCAGGTCTATGTCGTCCAGGCTTCGCGTGGGGGCGTTTTCAGACATAGCTGGCCAAACTTATGACGTTAGCTAACAAGTTAGCCACTTATTAGTAAAAATAAAACAACTTTGACGATGAGAATAAAATAAGTGGCTGCCTCTGGGGCTAGTCTATCGAGGTCATTAAAGCACAGCTGATTCAAGATATTAATTAACACTTTAGTGTCGGAAATCCATCGCAGGAGCTGCCGGAGACGCACCCAGCAGGCTAGCTTCACGCCAAGAGCTGTAACGTTAACAGCAGTTGGTTTACAAAAAAATGTCAGCTACTGGAAAGAATAAAAAATAAAAATCCGAGGAGTCTAAAATAAGCTTCGACAGCAGAACAGAGCGTCCCAGCTCCGAGCTAACAGCTGGTTGCCTCTAAACGCACCTCCACCTTGATGCGTTCATGTTCACAAGACGCCGCGTCTCTCCTGCTGCTGCAAATCATCCCAGCTTGTAATAATAATAAAAAATATATATGATCTAAAAATCCAAGAAGGAAAAAAAACCTAGCAGATGTAATAGAGAAACACTAATAATTCCGCCTACAAATTTACTGGTATTCAACGCAGTATTTTTTTTTTTTATTAAAAGAACGCAACGTCTGTGATGTGATGGCGTCCGGGTCCGTCCGCACCAGAACCGAACGTCAAACTAACACTAGATCCCTACAGGGAAGGGATACTGCAGTTAAATCAAAGCGGCACAAATAAAATAAAAAATAACAAATAAAAATCAGCTCCCGCCGTCTCTGCTTGCCAAACTTTATACGAAGACTCAGGAAAAATATAATCCCACTTTTTTTCCCCAGCAAAGTAATCAGAGTACCGACTCAGGTGTCTGTAATCAATCCGTGGCTAACGACGCCGAGCTAACAAGCTAAATCGTCTTTTTCCTCAGAATAAACTTTCTCATTCCATATTTTTCCTGTGTTGACAGTCGCGCCTAGCACTACCAACCATCCAGGGGGGAGAAACACAGCCAGGCTGTGTGTTTAAGACTAACTGGAGCTCTCCTTTTCCTTAAACGATCGTGTCCTTTGGCGTCCAGTTCTGTCGAAACTGCGGTCCAAAGGTACCAGGTACGGCGAAGCTTCTACCTGCGAAACTTGTTATTTCGCCATGTTTTGACTCCCAAGTCCAGCCTCCTACTTCCAGCCAAATGCAATGACGATTGGCTGCGTATGCAGCACTCCTCAAGTGTTTTCTGCTCCTGGAAGGGACTACGGAGGCGCACAAGGGACAAATTAGTATGAAGAAAAACAAATACAGAGTGGACCTTAACCCCAGTTGGGCTCATTCAATCAAACATACCGGACCACACCCTAAAAAGTTAATAAGCTGTTCAAGTTTGGCGTTAATGATTGAAGTATACCAAAAAAACGAACCCAAATTTGGTCATTTAAAGTTATTTACCAGACTACTGGTAATTAATTTAAACTCACTTTTATTAAACACTAGAGGTGAGTACTCAACAAAGCAAATAAGAGTTCAATCTGAAAAACTCACACGAAGAGAAAAGGCAATTAGGAGAAATTTAATGATACAGTTACTTTGTCTTTGGTGATCAGACCTCGGCAGGAAAAAGAGCTTAATTTTGATAGATATGCATGAACAGGAGCAAAGATTATGGCTGTTTCCTCCCAGGCCTGAAACTAGTGGTGGAGTGGAGATAGATGAAGTTGGTCAGTCTGTAGACTGCTAGTTAGCGAGACGGTATGCTGAGCTTTATGGGGAGATCCAGTTGATTGCGTGATACTAGGGCTTCCCTCAGGGACCTGGACGATGGAAGTCCAGTTTAGAAAACACAGGCTGAGAGAACCGGTCCATGATGAGCAAGCATGAAGCAACAGTGGAGAGGAAAAACTTCCCGTTGGGAAGAAACCTCTGGCTGAACCAGGGACAACATGGGATCTTCTGCCGGACCAGTTAAGATGTGACAGGAAACGCAGTAAGAGTCTTCTTCTTCTTCTTCTTCTCGTGTTTTATGGCGGTTGGCAACAAACTGTTAGTAGCATTACCGCCACTTACTGGTATGGAGTGTGGTTCGTGATGGTTTAAATATTTATCCTGATATATTCTACCCTAACTTCTTCTAAACATACATTCACACATTCACACTTAAAAATATAAAAAAATTTGTGCACAGCTTTGTATATCATTCCTTCACTCACAAACACACTTACTATAATTAAATTCTATGGAATAATTTCGTTTTCTTTAGAAAACGAATAATTATTTGTATGTGTTTACTCCCTAAATTTTTCCTCAGTATATCTAATAAATTAACCTTCTCCTTAATGTCTTCAAACTCTCTTCTCATATATCTTCTCTCTCTTTCATATTTATGACAGTCTAATATAACATGTTCTATGGTTTCATATTTATCACAGAAATCACATTTGCCCGTTTTATGTTTTTGTATTTTAAAAAGTGTATAATTAAGTCCTGTATGACCAAATCTTAACCTTGTTATCACTCTTTCCTCCTTTCTATTTCTTCTTCCATTTCTTCTTTCTCCTACCATCTTCTGAATTTTATAAAACCATCTTCCTGTTTTATCTTCATCCCACCTTTTTTGCCAAATTTCCATAAGTTTCTCTTTAATAATACTCTTTCCTTCTGATTTACTTATTTTAACTATAAAACTAATAGAATGTTTAATTGCCCTTTTTGCCATTTTATCTGCCCACTCGTTTCCTTCTACCCCAATATGTGCTGGAACCCACACAAATGTAACTATCAGCCCCATGTTTCGTATTCTGAACAGTGTATGATTTATTTCTAATAAAATGTCCATCCTACTATCTGTTTGGTTATTTTTTAAACTTAACAATGCGGAGCTTGAATCTGAACAAATGACTGATTTTAACGGTTTTATATCTTCTACCCATTGTAATGCTAATAATATTGCCAACATTTCTCCTGTGTATACTGATAATCCATCTGTAATCCGTTTTCCTATTTTTATATTGAATTCTGGTACTACAAATGCTATTCCTAATTTCTCAGTCATTTTTGATGCATCGGTATAAATTTGAATATATTGATAATAACTGTCTAAATATAACTGTACTAAATTGATATCTACCGTGTACGATTTATCTTGTTTCTTTTCCATTAGTGACATATCTACTGTTGCTTCTGGTAGAATCCAGGGAGGTATAATTGATATTGGTGTTGTTTGACTCATTTCTAAACTATTCATTTTAAATTTTTTAATTTTATTTTCAATTGTCCATCCAAAACTCCTCATTTCTTTCTTTTCTTTTTCCCAGCATGGATTTAAAATGTCCAAAGTTGGGTGATCCCCTTTATTTCCTTGTAAATTTAACCAGTAATTGATTTCTAATTTTGTTCTTCTTAAATCTAATGGCATTTCTCCCATTTCTATTTCTAATGCTGCTGTTGGTGTGGTTTTAAATGCTCCAGTACATAATCTTAGTGCCTGATGTTGGATAATGTCTAATTTGGTTAGATGTGTTTTAGCTGCTGAACCGTAAACTAAACAACCAAAGTCTATGTTGGATCTTATCATACTTGTGTAAATCTGTTTTAGTGATTTCCTATCTGCTCCCCAGTCACTGCCAGCCAAACATCTCAAAATATTCAAGATTTTCTTACATTTATCAACAACTTTTTGTATATGTATATGCCATTTTAATTTTTCATCAAACCATAATCCTAAAAATTTTATACACTTTACCTGCTCTAACTCTTGTTTATATAATTTTAATTTTATTTCCTTGTTTATTTTTTTCTGAGTAAATAACATTACTTTTGTTTTATCAACTGAGAATTTAAATCCCCATTGCAACGCCCATTTCTCTATTTCAATAATAACCTTTTGTAATTTTTTAACAATAAAATCAAAATTTTTCCCTCGTTTCCAAACAGCTCCATCATCTGCAAATAGTGAACACCCCATGTCTTTTTCAATATCTTTAAATACATCGTTTATCATAATTGAGAACAAAAGTGGACTTATAATACTCCCCTGTGGAGTTCCATTTTCTACTTTATATTTTCCTGAGGTAGTTTCTCCTATTCTAACTTGTATTTTCCTACCTGTTAAAAAGTCTTTAATCCATTTAAATATTCTCCCTTTAATACCAATCTTGTATAATTTAATTAATAATCCATCCACCCACATCATGTCATATGCCTTTTCTATATCAAAGAATATAGCCACTACACTTTCTTTATTTACTTGTGCTCTTCTAATTTCGTGCTCTAAACAGAGCGTTGGATCGTTAGTGCTCCTCCCTTTTCGAAAACCACTTTGATATTTTGATATATATCCTTTACTATTTAGATAATATACTAGTCTATTATTAATCATTTTTTCCATTATTTTACATAAATTAGATGTTAAGGCTATTGGTCTGTAGTTTTCTGGGTTTGAATGATCTTTCCCTGGTTTGGCTATTGGTATAATAATTGATTCCTTCCAGCTCAACGGTAATTTTCCCTCCTCCCAAATTTTATTATATAGGTGTAATATTATATCTTTAGATTTTTCACTAAGTTGCCCTATCATTCTATACCAGATTTGGTCTTTACCTGGTGCTGTGTTTTTTGTCTTTTTAAGTGCATTGTTCAATTCCGTTTTTGTAAACTCAACATTTAACAAATTATTTGTTTCTTCACCGCTCTGTATAAAATCTTTATATTTAATTTTTGTATTTTCTCTACCTTTTCTTCCATTTTCACTAATATTATTTGAACTATGAATTTTACTGAATGTTCTTGCCAATATTTCAACTTTATCTTCATCTCTTATTACGTTTGTATCATCTATTTTTAGAACAGGATAGTCAAACTCTCTTTTAATACCATTCATTATTTTGATTACTTTCCAAATTTTCTCTATTTTTGTTTCTTTCCCTATCGTATTACAGAATTTTTTCCAATATTCTCTTTTTGCATTCTTTATAGTTCTCCTTACTATTGCTTGTTTTCTTTTATAATCAATTAAATTTTTATAAATTGGATTATGTTTGAGTGTCTTAAATGCTTTATTTCTTAACTTTATTGCTTCTTTACACTCATTTGTCCACCATGGAACCATTTTCTTATCGTTCTTACTCCCTGATTTCTTTATAGAATTATCTGCTGCTTCCATTATTATTTTACCAATTATTAAATTTAAATCATTTATATCCATACTCATGTCTACTTTTTCTAAGTTTATTTGACTCAAATATCTAAATTTAGTCCAGTCAGCCTTATTAAAATTATACTTTTTCCCAATTTTAATATTCCTATTATTTAAATTTAGCCCTACTCTTACTATTATGGGGTAATGATCGCTACCTATTGTAGATTTTTTATCAATAAACCAATCACAAATACCAGCTAAAACATTTGAGACAATTGTTAAATCAATAACTGATTCCATCCCTGTTCTTATATTGATTCTTGTTCCCTTTCCATCATTAATACATACTAGATTTTTCATTTCCATTATTTCTTCTATAACTTGTCCGTTTTTATCATTACATTTACCCCACACTGTACTATTTGCATTAAAATCTCCACACCAAATTACCTTCCCTTCCAAATATTCAGTTAACTCCTCCATTATTTCAATCGATAATGTTTTACATGGATTATAAAAATTTATTATTTTTAATTTACCTTCTTTTTCCCATATCTCAATTACTACATATTCTAGTTCTTTCCCTTTCCCCAATATCTGATATTGTATTCCTTTTTTGATAAATATTGCACATCCTCCTCCACTTCCCTCTGCTCGATCTCTTCTTACACTATCATATCCTTTAATCACAAAATCTAATGATGTTTTTAACCATGTTTCCTGAACACAAATAATTTCCGGTTTTTCTTCCAGCTCATCAATATAACCTTTAAGTTCCTGTCCATTAGCGATTAAACTTCTAGCGTTCCATTGTAGTATTAACATGAACCGTTTTCACCCGAAGGTCCTGGTCTCCCATCTTCCTCCAACTTTTTATTTATGTTCTCCCATGATCCCTCTTTAAATCCCAAAAACTTTTCAGCTCCTCTCACTATTATTTTAATCTTCTCAGTTTTGTGTTTGGCTTGGTCAGTGCAGTTGATAACATAAGCTATGAATAATATTAGTTTTTCCACTGGAATTGTGGCTTTTTCTTCTGTCTGTACTTTGCTTTGTTGTGTAGTTTGTCTCACTGTTTGTTTAATCTCTCTTGTTTCCTGTTCCTTCA